CACACGCACTACAAAGAAGTAAGACCATATAATAACACCGCATAATTCTGCAACTGTCATGTTTTAAAGCGTGTTTAAAGTTTAAAGTAGCCGAGTTTTAACTATGGAGTATGAAGATGTCATTGAATCGGTTCCATACGCGACTTTCACAAGATCTGTTTGAAGCAAACATCGTTATTGAAGACCAGTGATGCTTCATACCTAGTTACTTGTCTTACGCATCTGTTACCTTTGACCTTTAGGTCGCAAGACCGCTGAATTACTGTAATTGTATAATTATAAATGAAACGTCGTGAACAGCTATGGAAAATTATAATTTACGGATGCATCCACGACAAGAGAATTTTCTAAACTAGTTTTGTTTGCTTCTAATTCTCATAGCATTTACGCTGTTTTATCCTTTTGCTGAATTCTGACATGTCATGTAGCGTAGAACGTGTACTATAGTAAAAGTTTTTGATACCAAATAAAACTAGTAGCTGATAATGAAATTTAAAATGTTTAGAAGCTTCATAACGTTTATCTAAAATTCAGTTTGAAAGACGTAAACAGCCTGCTAATGCTAATAGATAGAGAGAGACGATTATAGGTCCAGAAAAACGTCTTTATTAAGTGAAACTCTTGGAATCCATGACGCCGTTCGTTTTTCTGCACGATATCGTAGTCCCAGATAGCAAGGGTCGGCAGGTCAATAATTAAAGCATTGCAACAAAGAAATATAACAGGGAGAATAGTGAGTAGGAAAGGAAAATGCGCGAACGAAAACGAAAGATATGAGCATTGAAATAAGAACATAATTTAAATAGACGAAAAAAATGAAATGAGATGAGGTAGTAGAGAATAAATTATTTTGATTGAGATTCCACTTATCAGATCTTTAAATGCTAATTCGTTATTACGCAGGCTGCTTCCCAGATGTTTTAATTAAGTTTCAAAGACCGTTCCCTGAGTTAGGATCTCATCTTCAGTAAATTAGTTCCTGCTATCTAATCTCCTTTTATTTATTGTTAATTTTCCTTTTTTCGTTTATCTCTGTCTTTTTCCTTTCATTTCTTATGCCTTTCTTTTTTACGTACTGTTCATGGTTGATTTTACATTTCTTTTTTACAGTGCTTTTCTTATTTATCTGTTTATCTTTTCAATTGCTAATTTGTGTTAAACAAGTAACACCGTGGGGTGGGGAAAGCTACACTTATAAGAGTAATTTTTTGTAAGCTTCTGTTAATCTCTTTTCTGATCTATTAATCTAAAACATTTTCTTTTATTTGTTTAATACGTCATAATTCCCCTGAAGGCGTTCATAATTGTGTAAGGACTGTGCTGTGGTAAAAGGTTATTCGACCTTATACTGAGGATGCACCAGTTAAGCAGTGAATTCATCATATTTATAATCACTTATCAGACCTATAGATTCGCTGAATCTTGCCCGATTGACAGACAACTAGTGTAGTTAGAAAAGAACAGCAGTCTATAAAAATGAGGCCGTGAAGGTTATACGCGTTGGGCTAATATAAGTCACTACTTTTTAGTTATTTAATTACAAGTTATAATTTCTATATTACATAACATTTGTTTTAGAAGTTAATTAAGTTAGAAGCTGTTGGTTAGTTACTTTGGACTAGCGCAGATGTTTGTCATGGAATTTTACAAATGACTGAAACAGTAGTGTTTGTTTTCAGGCTAGCAGAACTTAAACAGCAAAGTCACCCAGATCTACTGTCTGACTCTTAGAAACGGTATTTTAGATTGATATGCGGCAATATATACCGCTATGGCAATGGTCATATTCGTTGTCGCAGACTTCTGGTCAACGGTGTATTTTAACGTTTTTCATTGTCCTCCAACGTATCTGTGACAAAATGAAGTTTCATGCGCGATAAGAGTTTCGGAAATGTTTCGTTTCTTATTTTGGGCCGTTTCATCCGCCCAAGCCGGGTGCCATGCCTCTGAGCTCATTTGATAGTTTCCTTAGATCGGTGATGATCAGTACCTGGTTTCTTGTGACCCGGTGTTACTATCACACTTCAAAGATACTATGCAGAAAGCTTTGTCCGAAGGTGTCTACTTGAGCTTCACGACTGTTTTGGACGGCAGTTGTTTGGAGTCTGTACTTGAGCACCGGGAATGCGACTGCTTTCAGAATCATGATCTTTGCTTCCATTAATGGTAGAGAGTATGGGGATACTATTTACTAAGTCCATGGCACCATAACTGACCAAGAAGGCTCCAAAAAGCACCAATAAAGCAAAGGCATGCTTTCTTCCATTTTTTGAGTAAAATTTCCTTCTCGTGAACAACATACTCCATTCTCGCTAAAGAATTTGAGCCTAAGTAGGTATAAGTGTCGCTTTTTGGATTTTCTCGGCATAAGCCACCGTTTTCCTTCTAGGGAACCCTTTCAGTAGGTCATGGTTTAATAGAAATTGTATTGCACGGATAAAAAATATTGTCACTTTATTTCGGTTTAACAGAAACGTGTTCAAGCAGCAACTCATGTACTTATGTCTGTTCTAAGTGAACTCCTTGTAGATCATGGAATGGTTTGTCGAACTGGAGAGGCTTGACGGAAACATCAGCATCATCGGCAGCACCGCCAGACACTGCGAGCAGAATCTTGAGCAATGGCTTCTAAGAACGGATGCCACTCTTCAAGCAATTTCTACGTCAGTCGGAGAAGGCCAGCAGTTGGTATCGTTGTTGAGGTATGAAGATCGTGAAATGGTTTTGCCTGATGCATAAGATGGGATAAATATTTTGTTAGAGATGAAAGCATTTCGATTCGTGAGGAGGGGTTCCAGTAGTGTTGAGATATCGCTTGGTTAAAGCTTACCGTTTTATATTTGGAGATTTTCCGAATTTTTGTCTTATGTTGGGACGAAGGTATTCTTCCATTTACAACAATTTACCTTAAGCGTAATGGAAATTCTGAGAACTCGCGGCTGTCAAGACGACGAATAGATGGCCTCAAAGATCACTTTCCTTTCTTTGGAGGTAGAGGCTCGTCTACGTGCGACGCTGACAGGGAACACTTTATACAGTATGATGTTCCCCGTGTCAAGTTGATGAATTATCTGATGAATCGATCGTATACTGCTACATTTAGAAACATTCAAAACTCGTCCAGGTTTGGTTTGTAGTTAAAGTATGCTTTCCCTCCCTAGATTTTTTCTTGAACGCATGGAGAAACCTGTTAGGTCATAGTTGTCAGGATAACGCACATGAGGCTTCGCAGCTCATCATTGCTTCCTCAGCAGACTGATTTAGATTTCATTACAGAAAGTCGCAACTACTGTAGTTGCCAAGGAAAAACGCATTGTCCTTCTCTCTATTTCATTTCTTGCGCTGATCACTAACGGTCGTCATAACATAAAAACCATTTAGCTTGTCTTAACCATTTAGCTTAAACTCTAGCAGTTTGAGTTCAACATATCCTTGAGTTTAAGTTGTTGAACGCCTAATCCACGCCTCGTTTATATCGGGCATATTTGTAGCTCAGTCAGCAGAGCATAAGACTCACAGTTGAATGATCGTCTGCTGAAGCCTCAGCTTGGTGATTTGTTTTTCACTCTTTTTGGTACGTGAGTGAGTACCGGTATGTAGAAAGGAATTGAGAGACTGCGCTATAATGGCAATCTAGCCGTAAGTTTTGCCTTCAAAGCAAAACATGAGACTCCCAAAGATTATCGTAATGGAGATTGGTGCTGCTTTGTAGCCTTCTAAGGAAATTATGGCATTTTTCATGACTGTTGCATGATACCAATCCCCAGAATATTTGGAACTTTCCTTTGGAACATGAGTTTAGTCGTATGCTGAATTATTGATGCTGCTGACAACGATGACCTTGGTTTAAATATTGAAGGCAACAGTCAGTAATGGAAGGAACCGACAATAACGATAGCATCCTGACCGTCGAATCGATGCTGAGAGGTATCGACGAGCGACAGAAGCCATTGAAAGACAAGTGGAAATTGCAGCGGTTCCAACTGGACATCGGCCTCCAGTTTCGCGTATTCGAACAGGACTGTCTCTCAGTACGAATGGCCCCTTTCTATTGTAGTTCGCTTGTTCCCTGTCGTAGTTACTGGCATGATTTTCAGGTTATATCTCAGCTGGACGTGTGGAACGAAGACATGAAGGTGATGAGCAAGAAAATCAATCCAGGTCAGGTTGAGCAGATCCTGCCATTGCATCAGGACAACACCGCACAAGTACACGCTGCCGTTACCGATATCGCACAGAGTGCCCAAGATATTCTGCAGGTAATTTATTGTCTGAAAATGAATAAACACAACTTGCAATGTACTGTGTACTGTGTATTTGTTTTGGGTGACACTTACTCAGTTTTGTTCATTTTGTTCATATTTTGTTTTGATCAGTTGCTCATAAAATGTCTCGCGTCACTCGACAGATATCAACGATAATTATAAATACAGTAACTTCCATTTCGACCTAACAGTGTTAACACAGTGTAACAAAATTCTGAAGTAAGTTTTGTCAGAAGATGGCAAGGCTTTTCCAGACGTTTACAGGTTGGTTGTTTTTGGATTTTTTCCATGTTCCTGTTCATCTAGATTCGTTTAACCGCTTTCCTGCTCCAATAATAATCACAGTGAGCAGCAGTACCTGCGGATATTAATTGCATATTGTTCCCTCACGAGCCAGTTGCCTCAGGGCACTGTTTATGCAAGTCAGGGATCCATGGTATTTTATTACCTGTAGTGCATGGACTTCAGTCGGCGCTACTTTGTTCAGTCGAAGATAACATTCGAACACAGATGAATATATTTGATGCCCGGTATTCTTGATATGCAGGCAAGTTGCTAGTTGTCAATACCAATGGTAAATCTAGGTCACTTCCAGATTTGCACGGCGTATTCACACCATAACCTACTTCTACTAGTCTGTGGTGCATAATTTAGATACGCCGCTGCTCTGCCGTAATTTTTGCGCCTATAACACTTTTATTTATTACCTTTCAGTTTGTTTATTTTCACTGTTATTCATCTCTTATTTAATCTGCGTAGAGTTTCTTTTCTTTTATTTATACTGAAAGGCACGATTGTTCAGTGATAATGTTCCATTAGTAACTTCTGTTTTTTTCACTTCAGCCATAGGTAATCAAGGTATTGCGTAACTACATAATTTGCAGACATAATTTACCGTCCAATGTCATATCAACCTTTTGCGATCCTCCACTGCTCGATGAAGTTTTCACAAAGGCTGTCTTAGATAAGCTTACGTTTTCTGTGATACTTATCCAAATTGATCAAACTAACCTTCTTAATCTCATTTTCTAGTCGATCTGGAGGTCTTTCTCTGACCGTTTACTCTGTCAGAATCCAGTGTAATATCTTTCTAGTCCAGCGATTGTCGATTCGTTGTCGATTCTTGCAGCACGTCGTGTTCCTTAACACTTCAGCTTCTTCATTCATGCAATTAAATCACAGATTCCTGTTTGTACACTTACTCATTCGTTCGATGCTCCCTCTTTTTTACTTTAATGCCTTCAGTTTCTACGCTGCATTGCGAGGCTGCAGTTTGTGAATAGCTTTCAGACTTTGGGTCCACATAAGATCGATAACTTTCCGTTTCAAGCGATCGCAGTTTCCGTATAAGAACATTTTCAGTCTTTTATAAATGTTCCATACTATTTTTCTCTTCTTCTGATTTCGCAGAATCGGTTCTCCTTTGCCGAGACGAGTTTTCCCAGATAGACGTAGTTCTGCATCACTTAAAGCCTAAGTCTGCTGAGTTTAATAGATAGGGGTTAAGGTATTTGTTAATCATGACCTGTCTCTCGTTCATTTAAAGTCCTGTTTTGACCCTCGCGTGATTTGTATTCTTTTTTGGAGATCTTCTGGTAGTCTAAAGAGGATCGTTCACAAACCCTAAATGGCTTAAGTAGTTTTCATTTTTCTGCAGTTTCTGCTTTTCTCAACAGGGTGTCTTGAAAGCCATTTATAGCTTATGTGAATAATTTCAACGATACTGCTTCACCATGTTGGACGTAGTTTTCGGCTTAAAATTTGTTCGCGTATCTGTGAGGTTTCACAGTTAGATATTTGTAAGTCATGATTATGAGCCTGTATCTTTTCTCATTTTCGATGCTCCTCAAGGAATCCCGTAGAGACCGTGTATACAGCGAGTTGAAAGTGTTCTCAAAATGGACGAACTCCAAGCAGAGAGGAGGCTGACGTTCGTCGCTTGTCTGAATTGCTTGTTGTACCATTTAAAGATGGTCGATTTGACTCAGTTCACCTCTGAATCCTATTTGTTCCTTTGATTATGCAGAGTCCAGTTTTTCTTACAGACGTTCGTCAGTACCTTCATGAAGTTTTTGTGGGTGATTGGCAACAGATTGATTAGCTGCAGTTGTTCAGATCTTTGTTGTTTCCTCACGAAGCGGTGGTCCGTCCATCAGATATGTGGTGTTTTAGCAGATTTTACATTCAGATTAATTTAGCTTTATCTGAATTTAGATTACTTAGAAAATAAAGCCTTAATTGAATACGAATTTATTTCCATTTTGCTGCACCCGCCTGTTCGTCTCTGGTACTTGCGTATTATGCCCATTGTAACGTAACGTTGGTCAATTGTAAACTATTTAAGAATGTAAGGGAGCCCTACAACCGAATGAAGTTCACCACAGAATTTGAATTTAACCAAATCCTGCGATCGTTTTGCTTCTAAAATTGATTTCGTAAAGAACCAAGAACTGTTGGAATATTCGATTTTCTGTCTGTTGCAACGCAACTCGTACCTGTGGATATTTTCGCCCACAATGTTGCGCCCTATCTTCATTATTCCGGAAGATGGTTAATAATATGAATTTCCACTCAGCAGCCACGCTGAACATGGAAGCAAAACTCGAAGTTCGACTTCGCCACCTTCACAACAGGATTTTAGTGTGTAAACGAGCAGTGTTAGTGTTAAGAAGCGCATTGGTGCATTGGAGCGTTAATTTAAACAAACTTCTATTTGAAAATAGAACTGAGTTGCATTCTGTTTTAAAATACTCAGTGGTTCTCATCTTCGATTAATCCATCATCGTTTTTTCTTTTTTCTGTTTGTTCTCTTCATCATCAGTTTTTCTATCTTCATTTGCCCTTTCATCTTCTGTTTCCCAAACTTTCGCTTTTACATATTTATAGTTTTCCCATTCCGACTCCCATTATTTTTCTCCCCTTTTTCGTTTTTCTAACCTCCTTTTCTGGTGTATTCCCTTTCGTTTTGTTTAGCGGCTCCTCATTTGTTTTCTTTCAATTTTTCATCCTTGCCTTTTGTTTTCTGTTTCTGTTTTTCTGTATCATATGTTTTGTGTTTTAATCGTATCGCTTTTTTAAAGTTGCGAAAACGTTTCTTTCGCTTTCAGTTAATCCAGAACTCGGGCGTTTCGTTGGTCACGATTGATGGTCAGAACATAGTTGATCATTTGCATCATTTATCAGGGAAATTGCGGCAGCAGGAGAAAGAAGTAATGCAAATGGCGGCCATGTTTCTGTCCCGTTTGGAGTACATGAGCAGCTTCACGCAGTTGCATGCCCACGCTAACCAGGTATCGTTCGTTTGCAGATAATTTTTTTGAAAAGCCATTGCTGTATCGGTGATTTTCAGGTCATTGCCTGGGTGAACAATGAAGAACAGATGCTGATCGCCACTTTTGCAGTACCTTCGACCCTTAACGAAGCGGAACAGTTGCAGTCGGAACACAAGCAGTTCCAGCTGGCGATCGAGGTATTATTTTTTGATCTAATGGCAGGGTTTTCTGTGTTACATAACTCAGCTGGTTTTTAGAAGACGTACGAGAGCACGCTTACATTTCAGCAGCAGGCGGAAGTGATGCTGTCCAAGGAACAGTGCGATGGCGACAGTGTACGTGCGCTGGTTGAGGAGGTGAACGGTAAATGGCGCCGCTTGATTGCGTTGACAGAAGAAAGGCATAAACTTCTGACTGCCGCGGTCACCTACTATAAGACACTGGATCAGGTAACATTGGCAACAGTGCGACGCGGCTGTGATTTGAAGTAATTACTGGTGTTGTATTTGTTTCTTGTAGGTACTACCTGTGTTGAACAACCTGGAAGAGGATTACCGAACGAATAAGGACTGGTGTTCATGGTTCAGCGTGCAGAGCGGGGCGCAAGAATCGAAGTCATCGCCGCGCGCACAGGACAAACGCGCGTATATATCGCAGCTAATCAAAAAGCACATTGACAACAAGGACCGCTTCTTGCGGGTATATATCTGCCAAGGGAGGTGAAATTAAGTTTTTTTATGTAACGCTTAACGATTTAGGGTTGTACATATGCCCGCAAAAACAGCGAACTGTTTTTGAAGTACGTCCGAAGGAGTCTGCATCAACCCCAGCAACCACCTGCCATCATTTGTGCCAAACAGATCGAAAACAGGGTGATCGAGTCGCTGGACAACTTGCATCACAGAGAGAACCAGATCTTGACTTTATGGACAAATAAAAAACGTCGCCTCGACCTGTGTCAAGAGTACGTATTGCTGGAGGCGAGTGCGCGTAAGGTAGGGACCAAAGAAAGCTGTAGTTCAAAGGTGTGGGACCTGACAGCGCTCTGTTTTTCTAGTTTCTGAACTGGATCCATGAGGAAGGCGAGACTTACTTGACCACCCACATAAATGCTCTCAAAGAGAAAGTGGACGAACAGCTGATCCAAGAGCACGAGCTGTTCATCACCAAAGCAAAGGTAGTGATTTAGTGGGTTTCATCTCGCTGCATATTCTGTACATGTTATTATTTCGTCGGTTTAAGGAACAGCGGGAGTCAGTTCGGCTGTTTCTGGAACTGGCTGACCGCATGATCAAAAAGGACGAGGAGAATTTCCACTTCAACGATATCTCAAAGTGGATGACCGTCGTCAGACAGCAGTACACGGAATTCTCCTCGCGCATCGACAACTACCGTTCGAAGCTGGATGCAGCTTTGGGTCGACCGGAAGCGGTACTGTAGCTTGCGCTTGTTGGGAGTTTCTGCTCCTGATTGCTTTGATGTTATTTAAATAAAACCAAACCTAAAATTTTAGGTGAGCACTCGTGATCTTGCGCTCGACAGGCGCAGCGACCCGTCGTTGGAGTCGAAGATCAAAGAAAGCAGGGAGTCGAAAAGAAAGTCTACCCGTCGCAAAGAGTATTCTTCTGATTCGTCTACGCCAAAGTTGACATATTTGTTTATTTCACAGGTTCATCATGAGCGAACTGCTGCAGACCGAGCGGGTATACGTGAAGGATTTGGAAACATGCATTAAAAGCTACATGGATGAGATCGAAAATTCACCAGACGTCCCTCAGTGCGTCATCGATAAGAAAGAGCTGATCTTCTTGAACCTGCCTGAAATCTTTCAGTTTCATAACAAGTAGGTCATTAGAGTTATTCGTCGTCCAGTAACGAATTTCTCTAAACAGTAGGTGAATTCTGTAACACAACAAAAAGTGATGGACAAAAAATTGTAATTCAAGATAAGTTCTCCTTTCCTTTTTTGTGCATTCATTATTTCTTCGACCGAGACAGCTAATGGAAGGAAGAGAGGATGGAAATCCATATTCTTTGCAGTCTTCGATGATTTCACCAAAACCTTTGACCGAATCTGGAGAGACGTCTTATGGAAAGTTGATTTGCGATGTGGAATCCAACCGAAGGTTATTCGCATGATTAAAAAGATGCATGATCTTCCATCAAGTTCATCATAGCAACATATGAAGCTGTGGAATCCCCTATGCTGTTTGCGATATTTATTGGCTTGATGGTTCTGCCAATACGAAGTTTCTACTACTGCGGCATGAGTGAGCAACATCTGCATGGATTCTCTTGAATGTGCGAATGATGAAGCATTGCTAACAGCCCACTTCGATGCTGCGACAGCGCTGTTCCAATCTTTGAAACAAAGGTATTCTAATTTGAGTCTGAATTAAATGACGAACGACGAAGTGGATGGAAATTGATAGAACCCAGACGAACGTCCGTCTGACCTTTACACCGAAATTGTGGAAAACTTACCCGGAGCATTAATATTTTGGGAGTATATTAGCCGCGAATTGCAGTGATGAACGAAGAAACGGTTAAAAGACATCTTGCTTTGTCATTAACAACAAGCAGCATGTTATTAAAGTTTGGAAGTACAAAGGTACTTGCAGTTGCGCGAAACTACGGATGTACAGGGTTTGCATTTTCAGTAGGTTTCTGTATGACTTAGAGACGACATCACCTAACGAAATTGAACGCAGAATGCTTCAGTCGACAGAAATGAAGATTTGAAGATGAATATGGAAGGTAGGAAAGACGGAAGTGGAACAACCTGGTATCAAATGCTGTTGTTCGAGAGACACTTGAACATCCAACTAAAAGGACTGATTTGCTGTATACAACGCGTTTGCCAGCGAGTGGACGGTAGCAGCCCATCTAAGCGAATACTGTACGCAAAGTCTGATGGCTAGCGGTCGCCACGAAGTCTTCGTACAAGATAGGAAGTTTTCAGAAGAATCGACGTTACATCGAAAGGGCTGACGAGTGAGCTCGCGATTATTCTATCCATGTGGAATGCTCACCAAACGTCGTTGTCAAAGAAAGGTGATGAAAAAGTAAAGAACGAAAGAACGCATGAATTCAGGCAAAAGTAGTCCCATTACAGGAATTACCTCTAGCGTACATCTAAAAGAAGCTGTTGGAGATTTAGAGCATTTCATTAATATTCGATTATTTCATTATGACTGTCCCGTTTTGACACGGTTTAGTATTTCAACAGAT